CGCTCGCGGTAGCTCAACGGGGGTGAGGGGGCACCGACGCTAAGAAGGCTGAGGGCGAGCCGCTGTAACACCGCACGCGCGTACGTGGTTTCTGCTTGTGTGCGTATTGGCACTGTGGTGGTCTTCCACAGTGATCAGTGGGCGAGGGTCTTCAACGCTGTGCGTATACATATTTCACTTTCAAGTGTACGTACTGACCCTCGGGAGCAGCTGTGGACATGATTCGCACGCCGCGGTCATCATACATAACCATCACATCTTTCCACCGCAGGCTTGGGTGAGGATGGGACTGATCTGATGCCTCAGGTGTGCCACATGTGGCTCCAAAGACAACCTGCACGCATGCCAGCTGATACATATTCCGAGTAAAAGGGCGGACCTGAACACTCAGCACCACCTACTTGACCCGCCTTGGCCACCGATGTCCCACGAGCCTTGAACGCTAAACAGGTCACGTACTTACTTGCCACCAATGTCGCCCACCGTACCTATTAATGTCTGTTATCAAGACGCTCAGAACGCCTGTTAGAGACAGACACTATGTACCGTCAACACAGCACGTCTCGCTCGTCTCCACGTCCAGCAGCGCCTCCGCATCCGCTGGATCGCGACTGGAGATATGTGCTCCCGCAGTACGAGTACGACATACGGCGGCTTCCTGATCATGGTTGTCGCGCCATCCAGGTCAGCGTCGTGGCGTACAGAGGATCGACCTCTGAACGCTCACGTCGGAACCGTCGCGACCTACTTCACAAGCTTTTCAACAATCTTCATCAGGTCGACCGGCGCATCGTCATGTGCTGGAACTCTGCCCGGGATCGCTCCTTGCGTGAAACGACGCTACGATTCCACCGCGAAAGCGTCGTTCAGCGACACCACGAGCGATTGCGGATGATACAGTGTTTCGTGGAAAGCTTCGATGGGCTCGTCTGCTTGGAGAACTGGGAGGCGATATCGATGGATGGGGTACGGAGGCCCGAGGCTGACGTGCAGAACTATCGGGACGAGCTGCTCCATCCGCTCGTCTCCAGAATCAACTACCTGCTGGACTTAGTCCATGGCACCGACCACCTTCCGAATTTCTCAACCTCGCGAGCCGTCTATAGGAGGCTGAGGAAGGAAGTGCGGCAGTGGTGGACCATCAGGGAGGGCTTGCCGTGGGCGTACCGAAGCCCGCGAATAACAGACGGCGCATGAGCGCATGCTTCAAGACATATCTATAGGTCGAGCGTTAGTGATCCTCCGGCTGCGCTGGCTACTGGTGTGACTCTCTACATGCAGCCTATGCAGACTCGGAGGTGGTTGTAACGAGCGTGCCCGCCACATGCTTAGTACATCAGCACGTAGATACATCGCGCCAGCTTGGTTGTAGTTATTCGCCTTTCCTGCAACACGGCCACCAGTATACGAGTCTAATCGTGCCCGTTCTCAGCCGTTCCGCGCGACCGCAGCACTGTATGACTGCCTGAGCTGACCCTGTCCACAGTGATTTCGTACTGCCTCACTTGACTTACCAACATCGAGATTATGCTCAGTAGTATTTCAACCTATGGTTACATGATCGTCGACTAGGAGGAAAGTACTTACCGGGTAGCATCTAGCTCACCTTAGACACCTGGTATGCCACGAGTCACCGTCGCTCAATAGGCCCACCGTGACAGACCGTGACCCAAGTACTCAACATCGAGGAGGACAAGCTCCCGGCATAGCACCGCGCGTTCGTGATATCTGCTTGTGGGCGTGTTGATCCACTGGTAATTTCTTGAAGGCGAGGGCGCCCACTTGAACCACTCTAGTGCGTGTGTTCCACCTCGAAGATAATGGATGCGAATGCTCTCAGCGAGAATTCTCCTTCGATGTAGTGTCTGGCATCCACTCGTGACCAGGAAGCTACTCGCTGAACCTGGCCTCCGACGTGTTCTGTGCTCAGGGTCTACCACAAGTCACAGCTACACAGGCTGCGTACAACTGAGGAAGCTCGACAGCAGTGGAATCTTGACGAAGACACAATGTGGAAGCAGGTAAGACGGGAAACGCGCACAAGTATATAGCGTGTGATCTCAGTAGTAATTTTCTACGACTTCACAATATGCGACAGCCCGCAGGCGTGGTGTCTTTCAAAAGCCACCTTCGCCACACCCACTGCTCAATCAGCTATTGCCGGTGAACTAAAGAACGAAGCCCACATGCCACCAATGTCGTCCACACACAAAGAGACAATCGAATGCCTGTATATCAGGAGCAAACATTCATTATCTTAGGCCATGTATCGTCGCCACAGCTCTCCCCACCGCTGGATGGCCCATCTAGCCACGCCTCCTATTTACATCCCGGATTGAGGGTGGAAGCGCGCCTTCCAGCAGTATTCCCTGCACGAGCAAGATAGAGTTAACCTTCCCTACCATGCTCGTGCGGCCTCTGCTTGGGGCGACTCATCGAGCGCTTGCTTGGGTAAACCCAGGGACGACTTTGCCCTTCTGGACGACCTTCTGTGTCTCCTCCGACTCGAAGCGCGACATGGCGAGGTTCATGGCCCCGGTCAGAATACGCTCCACGACGAGCTCCACTGGGTTGTGCTCGACATTCAAGTCGTACTTGTTGGTGTCGACGGTGAAGGGGCGAACATATTCTTCCTTGTGCAGCTCGGCAAACAGTGCGGACATGCGCATCGCCTTGAGGATAAGCCTAGCGCAGTGTTTGTATCGTTCCATGAACTCGGTGTACACCTGGTGATCGCGGGCCGATTCGTATGAAGTTTTCATGACCTAGGAAACAGGTCAGTAAGGATCACAGAAGACTGTTTGAACTTACAGTGCAAAGCCCTTGTTTAGCCCAGTCTGCCGGATCATCAACGATCACACATCCATCGAGAGGCACCCTCTTATCCAGCTCATCGGAGACCGCTTGGGCGTCGCCACCGCCTTGCAACAGGTACCAGTATGCCCGTAGCGCGCCGACGTATACCCTCGGGCCATAAGCGATGGGCCCGCAAAGGATGCCATCGGCATGGGGGGCGTCGGCATCGATCGGCAGGTGGTAGATGCCCTCCTGGCGTAAATGCTCAGGGACGAGGTAATCGTGGGGACCCTCACAAACCGAAACCACAGAGAAGACGTTCGGAAGAACTTCTACGGAGTTTGGCGGCCTCCGCTGTGGGACAGGGCCGGGCTCCTCATCCGACTCACTGTCGGCGTCGGTGTGACGAATCATAGCCCTGAAAGTCTGCGGTCTTATCAACTACACAGGACACACACAATCAAGCGATCTCATTCACCTTGTGCATCATGTTGATGTTCGTCTGCGCCGTAGCGGTCTCGTGGATCACCGCGTCCACTACACTCATTCTCTTCTCGATAAAAGGATCACGTACAATCTTCTTGGGCAGCTTGATCCGCACCTGGACGATGCCATCCGGCACCTTCTTTGTGTTAGGCTGATCGACATTGCGTGCTGCCTGAATTATACATTCTTGAAAAACGCTCTGCACATGGTCGTCAAGTAGGCATTTCCAGCCGTCTGTGACGCCTCCGGTGATTTCCTCGTGCAAATCTTTGGGGCCGCTCATCGTAACTAGGATACCGGCCTGCGGATAGAATTGAAACCTTTATGTAGATGAGCGCGAGCTTTGACAGATCAGATTCCGAACGCAGCACACCAGAAATGGCGCAGAAGGTCTGGATTGCGGTCCAGGACGGCGCAGAGCTCGACCCGCTCTCTGACCGACAAACGCGTTCACTGCAAAATTGAAGTGAGCAGGACACCATATGAGCCAGTCAACAAACGTACATGCTGTAGATCGTATAGCATTGGCAGCTCCGGATGGTCCGCCCACTTGCCGAATATCTGGTGTGCGTTTGGAAGCAGGTGTGTAATCCAGTTGATGTTGTTGATCAGGTCGCTTGCGATGGTGGTCTTAGGTGACGGTGCAGAGTGACGTGCTATGTAACTTGTCATGACGTGTTATGTAACTTGTCAGAGCGCTTCATTCACGTTGCTGTGATTATCTACCGGCCGCAGAACGAGAGTACCTACCGTCGTCGATAGCGATGGGAATCTCGTTACGAGCAGAGTCTTGCCTGACACAGGGAAAGACGTGCGGGAGGGAGTCTGCTAAGTCGCGGGTCGAGTGCATGCTAGCGCGACGAATCCGTGAGGCGGCACGCGGAAGGGTATGCTCACAGAGCCACCTCACCGACATCCTCTCTCTTGAGGGAAAACGCGGGCTGTGCAAGTCAAGTGACATGTTCCGGCCCAAAGGCTTCCGCCTGAGCGCTTGAGTGTTCGTCCACGGTCCATCCTGCAGCATGAATTCGCCTCGCTGCGGCTGGGAGAGTCCCACGACATCTCAGAGATATCAGCTGAGATGCTCCAATGGTAACTTGAGCGACGAATCATATTTCGGAACATACACGCGACGGAACCCCAGGGCCCTGGCACAGCTTCCTCGACCTCTCGGTGCAGTGCATCGGGTGGGATGGGCTTTGATCTCATCGACGTTAAAGGCGGCTGAGACTGGCTTGGATCGGAACTGAGGCTGGTATGTCCGTCGCGGGACTGCTGTCGGTGATTGCGCCAGTTCCGGATTGAGAAATAAGGCCCAAGCATTAGCGGGGATACAAATGTCTTATGAAATCACCTCGTCGAGACCACGAGCCCCATTAGATGACACAAGAGGAGTATGCCTACACTGTTGAGCACTCGTAAAACTTCAGCTTCTTCAGCCTTGAGGACGATACAGCTAGTTGCAGAACATTAGGCGCAGACGAACGCGCGCGACATATGATGACAAATAAGCGCCGCGCCTTGGCCGCGCCACAGTTGACGTTGGTTCACCCACTTCTGCACCATCATGTTTTTGCGGCTTCACAGTCGTCTGCACTAGCACCTGTACCGAGCAATAGCGACGCGGTCACGTTCCTCGGACACTCTATTAATGTATATTCCATTGAGAGTAGTAACAATGCAATAATGCCTCCCCTACACCACTGCTTGCAGTCAGCTACAATGGACGAGTCCGACAGACGTCGTAGACCTGGGTGTAGAAGGCAGATACACGTTCAATTGTCTGCGGGCACTGGCCGGTACTCCTGCAAGGCGTCCACGGGATCGTGTTCAGCGAGTCGCAAGACATGTCTCTCATGACGGTTGCTGCAGGACAATCGATGCAACGCAAAAACATGGTGGTGCGAGGTGTGGTGAGGTGGGTCAACCGACGTCTTCGTGTGGATAGCGCCTATTTGTCATCATATGTCGCGCGCGTTCGTCTGCGCCTAATGTTCTGCAACTAGCTGTAAAGGCATAGTCCAAGAGCCCCGGCATTTCGCGTGGCGTTTGGCGCCCGAACATAAAGGACCAGCAGCCACAGTCGCGTACCGATACTGTCCTCGCACTTACCTCGACTGTGTGTCCCCATTGCTCCGCGCTCTGCATTGCATCACACAAGCGTATACGTTCTAGCTTCACAGCATCAATACACAATGTTGTCGACCACTCATCCTCATCACAACGGCTCTTACCTGCGGGCTCCCATAATACCCATTGGAGACGCCACCCCCAGTATTACCCCCTACATTCCACCAAAGCAACGTCCAGGGAACACGTCAATGATATGCCCGCCATATCCCAGTCGCGCGTCGTTACTACAGGACTCCGACATTAGCGCAGCACATCTTTGGAGACCACGTCGACGAGCTCCTGGAGCACACAAGCATATACGACAGACAGTCAAGCCAAACCCGTGAGTCGGAATGACAACATGCAGACGTAAATGCATATGTACTCACCGGGATGACACGATAGGATTTTCCCCTTGGACACCCAGGATCTGATGACTTTGCGACTCGTCGTATTGAAGCACCGCTGCCCTTGTCTGGAGGGGCCGTCTTCAACCCAATCCGTAGCAACACCGCTCGCTCTGGGTATCGCTCCACCTTCGCCAGCGGAAGCAACCTTGAGGCCTTCAGGCTCCCCAGGGGTGCGATCCTTAACCCTGTCTGGATCGCTATGCCCGAAGTTGGGCTGGGAAACATCTCCGGTGGTCGCGCAGACCTCGAACCATTTAGGCCGAGCCTTGCTCATGGCCCGTCATGGCTCGAGTACGCCGGTGAACGGAAGCAGGTCACCAGAGTCCTGTGGCAGTCTCCTCCGGCGCCCAATTACGAAGCGTCCGACGATTTCGTCTGCACCGCCGCGCTTGGTAGTTACGACTACCTGCACATCGAGGGGTCGACGCCGAACGTCGAGATAATGGAACGTGATATGGGCCCATCGGAGGAGGCGAAGGCGGTTGCCATGCGGTATCATGCGCTGTGGCGGGAGGCTGAGAAGATGGTCGGGAGTGCTGGCGAGGATCCATTGCTGGAGAAACCCCGTGCGGAGGACCCCCGAGTGTGGCGCTCGCACCGGCGCACGAAGGCGTGTCAGACGAGGGAGCCGAGAGCACTTCGCTCTTTGATGACAAGACGCCGTCGTACGTGAACCGCATCACCCCAGGACTGGTCGGATTGCGCGAGTGATTCGGGTATCGGCTGGTCGAAGTGGTGGCCAGGCTTAGGGAGAGTACGTTGAATACGCAGGGTTGTGGGTATGATATAAGAGATGGGGAGTTTGTCGCCGGTGAGCGGAGAAGCGAGGATAAATCTTGTCAGCGGCTTGTCGGGTAGAACTGTATTTGTTTTGGGGTAGCCAGCCATCGGTTCAAGTGATTACTATGTTTTGAAGACCACCGTTCCCCGTTCACAAACGCCTGGATGTGCTCGATGACGAACATAGCCGCTATGCATAGCTAAGAACTTGGTCATGTAACTCGGCCGGACCACTGTCTGAGCGTATCCCCATCTTCGTGATCCAACGTCAGTCGCCGACCACCGCACAACACTTGCGGGAGACCCAATCTGCGCCGAGGCGATATCCACATAGCTTGCCGCCGGCCGGTGTGGCTTGGGCCACCATCGCGTAAGCGCCCAGCATAAAGGCCGCCACCAACCCGAACTCGAGTTGCATATCCCCGTCTTTGTCCCCGACGACGACAACTGTCTCGCGGCACAAACCTTCCCAGGACGCCAAAACAACCCTATCAATCTCATCAGCCTACAATGCGCGCGGTATACTTGCTCTCACTTGCCAGACGCGGCACAAACGTCAACGCGGACGCGAACCTGAACCTCGCGAATGTGGCGTTGGCCGAACCAGCTGCTGTTCCACCTTCGATGGGTGGCCCGCAGTACACCGATGTGTACACGAGCAGTCCGGAGTCCCTCATGAAGCCCGAGGAGGCCCAGCGCGACGCTCTTGGAGGCAACGCCACTCCCCCGAGTGTGGCCGCAGCGTATCCCCGTCAACATTCCCATTCGCAACGCGTCCCAGACTGCGGCGGGTTGCGCTACATGGAACCACCACAACAGATGGCCATGGGGCTCTTGAGCCCTGGTATTTCCCTCGTCGACCCAATCGTCCTCGCGGCACCACGACCAATGCGCCCGGCGAAGGTCGATAGAGCCAATATATCCGCCATCGTAGATCGCGAATGGGACATTCGGGAAGGCCGTGTGTGCCTGCGGAGCCAGGAAACAAATACGGTCAACAACGATCGCCAGGTGAGCGACCATATGTAACCGTATTATGCTTCGTGCTCACCTAGTGTACCTTCGTCGATCGCGTACAGACGGCTACGCGGCCGCTTCTGCTGCCGCGACTAGGTGATACGACACAAGTCAAAGCCATTCACTCTCAGATCGACCTGGATGACATGGTGAGTACACCGAACGTGGACCCAACTTCTGTCAATGTGCTTACAGGACCCCCAGTTTTGTTTAGCGACGAACTCCCCATACACGTCAGATGCTTCGGAGACATCCTCCGAGACGGCCTGCAGTCGTGGTCGCGACGCTCGCCAGGTGGACACACTCAGTGTCCCCTACGGGCCCTTGCGCGATTGTGATTGGATCGACTGCCCGTTCTGCACGCCCGTAGCAGACCAGAAGGGAAGCGACACTTCCTCCCACTCGACGATGAATATCGCCTCCAAAACCGCTGCCAGACGGCACAAGGCACACTCTAAACCGAGGCGCAGGAAAGGTCTTCACCATGCGAAGACGTCCGCTCGCCCTCAACGAGATTCCAGCTCGAGTGCTTTGAGTGGAAGATGTCTAGACACCCACGCCCCTCGTCAGCCTGAAACACGGTGCGACACCGTAGATGCACCGTCCCAGCGATGGGGGCAGAGAAAAGACGTCCCCAGCTGCCCGCGGGCTTGCGACTGGATCGATTGTCCGATCTGCGAGCAGGCCATATCCGCACCGACCAAGGTAGAATGCAAGACCGATGCACAACGCTTGCCTGAGGATGCCGTACGTCGGAAGTTGGGACCGGAGCGCAAGCACGGGAGGAAGGAAGGAGGGGAATTCTACAAGGTCGCGGTCATGCTGGGCCTAGTGCGCGGGCCATGACTGGCGGCGACGTAAATGTTCAGTGCTGTTTTGTTGGGTTCAATGTGTTTTATGTTCCGCGTAGAGGGCGTTGAAGGAGAGTACTTAGCGCATTCCGACCTGACAGAGGCCGTGGGACACCTCGATCGACTGAGGAACTTTGCCGCCACAGCGAGCGCTAATGAGCTGTTCTGAACGCCGCCTTTCCTGGGACTCCTGCGCCTTCGAGTATCCGGGAAATTAAGCTACATGCGTAGGATGTCGCAATTCCGATCCAAGCTCAAGAGCTGTATCAACCACCAGGGCTCTCCTGTATGACCCTGTGTGCAGCAGCTTCTGTCGTTAGTACGGCACATCATGAGGCTGCTCTCAGTGGCCCTCCACGAGGCCACGAAGACAAATCACCTTAGGTGATTGCTTCACCTGCTCTGTCTTATCTACTGCAGCTCTGAAGTATTACGACAACGAAGACACCATACTCGTACTAAGCCGAAACGTGGCCCGCAATGTGGTCGAGCGACGTATTGTCGCCAGTAACATGACCACAGCCTCTGCAGGTCGTGGTATGCATATTGTTCCTCGTTTACTCCTTAAGCATGCGCTGACATCCTCGTGTCATGACCAGTACACGCTGATCTTCGCCGCGAATGTTCGGAATTGGTCATGATGGCAAATAAGTCTCTGGAGACGAGGCGTACTTAAGGATGGTGCACTATAGGTCAGCGCGAGTAAGCCATCTCACCCCCTCCGCGCGATATCGATGGACCTCCATCGCGCCACAAGTCCGGGACGAGTCGGAGATGGTGCGCCCGCCGTCCAGGAGCCCGCCGAAACCCCTCGCAGGGCGAGCGAGGGGTATACGGCGAGCTCTCGGATGCGATCCGCAGCAGTCGCGTTCGCTATGTTTTCAGCAACATGTAAGTGTCGAGCGGGGTGCTAAGATGAGATATCGTAGCAAGCTGACAGCCCCGATGGACAACCCACATAGACTACTTGAACATCCTCATCTTAATTGATGTACGTGCAATGTCGTATAAGCGTAACCATCGTTTCTCACCCGAAGACATTGTAGGTTGCTTTCGCGATGCTCTATGAACAAAGTTACGGTAGATGGGAGCTGATCCGTATGTGGGATGCCTTGCTGGTTGGTGCGTCGATGCATTAGGCCCTACGTCCGTTCTGCCCTTCATATGTCCTTGGAAAGGGCAATTCATTGGTCAAATCGTCTCTGGGATATCGTGCGACACCTTCGGAGAGGAGGTGTCGTTGTGCGCCTCGCTTGTTGTACTGTTTGTAGGAGCTGTGCTATGCGCGGTTGCACGCGGTGTCCAAGAGAGCACATCGAGTTTGCTTTGGTTCGTCACCATCGCGAGGGGTATCATAGGTGTTGTACGAGACTCCTTGATCTTTGCTGTCAAAATTACATTGACTCCTCTCAGGGAATTGGCGGCGTGTACCCACCAGCGTCGATAATTGCATTCGAAGTCGTCGACAGCATGGTCACCCACAAGGAACGAGGTAGAGCCATTGTTCCGTTTGTGTGATCCACGTCTACTCACTATGGTAACGTTGCAGCATTCGTGTTACTGACCAACGGTGTCTTCAATGTATGTATGCCATCAAGCGGAAGAGCTTATCTAAAGGCATCGGACCGTGTAGGCAGGAGGTCTGCTAGCGACCATCATCTTTCTAATTGTACTCTCTGCGGCGCAACCCGGACATCTGGCCACCGTCTGGCCGGTGTGTATCGGGATAGGGATCGTTGTTCCATTCGCGGCCATCTCTTATAGCATTCTACGGGTCATGGCGAGAAGGTGAGTGCAGTCACTGTTCGCGAACTTTCGACTCGGGAATAACGTTGATGTAGGTACAGGGGACGCGCAATGAGATGTATGTCTTCGCGAAAATGACTACATCGTCAACTAAAGTTGAATGATGCCGACCTTCTAGATATGTCCATGTACTCTTCCGAGTTCAAGCGACACTGGATTACGATGGCCCGCACTTGTCTCCTGTGGTACGAGATCATAGCTATCACCGAGCTGGCACTGACCTTCATTTCTGTAGGTTTGTATATGACTTTGTGAGTACAGAGCAGATGTACGCAGCCTGTCATGATTGATGCCGCTCGCGCAGGCCGTCTACCCGAAGATCATCTTCTCCGGCGTGATCCTATACACCATTGTCGATGGTGACATCTGGCGAACCGCGGGATTCGAGTTGCTACTCGCTGCGTTCGCTCTCGGTGGAAGCTTGGCTGGCGCCATGGTCTGCGACACGTTCGGACAGCGTAATACAGTCAGTCTACTCACCCTGTTGCGAGTCCAAGATACTGATGTCCGATGCTCCACACAAGATACTCGTTTCCTTCGTTGGTTACGTAGTGTTTGGTCAGTCGCTCGTCTTCCTGCGCCCGCTGTTCTAACATTGTACTCTACTCTCCGCGAGCACAGCCCTGATCATCGGGTGTGCATATGACCGACTCATCAAGGTCGTTCCTCTTCTGGTGGTATTGTATGTGACCATTCATCCCTGGATTGGACATCGATTGAACTTCACGCAGCTACGCTCTGATGATTTTCATGGGCAACCTGGTGAGTGGTGGTACTCGACTTGACAGTCTCGACGCTTCAACTGACAGCGGCTTAGGGTCCTGGAAACCTTCTCAGTCTCATTGCCACAGAGTAGGTCGACCCTATGATGTGTGTTAGAGATCGCGAGACTAATGTCAACTCGAAGATCGTACCCACAGAACGTCAGGTAAATCTCAATCATAGGTATCCTCGCCGTTCGCTGACTGGTCGTGTTTAGGGGATCTTTCTACGGTGTTACTGCGGCCTTCGGGACTGCCGGCGCCGTGGCCGGAATGCACGCTTTCAATGCCATCGACGAGAACCTCCGCAAGCAGTGAGTGTTTGAGGGGTTCGAGGCCGTCTGCATTACATCGGATCCACCTGACATGTCAATTCAGGTGGGGATTCATCATCGCAGCCGTGTGCGGTGCCGTAGGCATCGTTGTCGCCTACTTCCTTCCTTCACACGGCCCCCTAGTTGCAGTTTCAGCGAGCCAAGCGGAGAAGTGTGCTGTGCCAGAAGATGTCATCAATAACGCGACAACATCGGCTGCATCCAATGCTCAGCAGAACGGTTGTCCGAACGTATATCCGAGGCAAGGCTCAATGACTTCCGTCGACAAGGTATGCATGTGGTGTTGCAGCCTTTGCACTGTTCGTGAGAGCTGATACGGCAGTGTAAGGATGATGCCTTGGACACAAACGACGACTTCGTGCCGGTTGCCAATGGCGCAAATGGCCTACGGGTTCCTGGCGCGTCCGGTCCGCGTCAGATGCCTGGGGCTTTCAGCCCGCATCCATCTGGCGACCGGGTATGTCGTTCATTTCTTGCTTACCCTAACATCGCGTTCATCATGCCTTCGGTATTTTGTAGACATGTGGGCGTCACGCCGTCCAGTCTCGCTCAAATCAGGCACACACGCGCGCATCGGCTCCCGTCCTCCTTCATCTTGCTGCTACCGCTACCGATGCCACTCAGGACCCACTCGCGACGCGGCGACGCGTAAATCTCTCCAGTGCATCTTGCACAGACATCGCGGCGACTCCGGAGCTGCCACAGCAACGCTTGGCGACCCCCTCGGTTGTGTCATACGCACGTACCAGTCTATCAGAAAGCATTTCCGCCCTCAACGCTGCGTCGGATGACTCAGTGTATGTTACGCCAGAGCCACAAGCCGACGCAAGCTCGCTTGCATGTCCGCAAAGTGGCCCATCCCACCGCGTGATGTTGTTGCAAAGGATGTCTGGATACGAACCTCTGCAGTTTTCGGCGCCGGTAAGCATTATCATATTCTACTTGATGTCTTTGCGATAGCTCGTTTGTGATGTTGAATGACTCGTTGCCAGGCTTTGGACATCCAGGAGGCACACGAAGTGATCACAGAACACGTCGCCGCCTCTGGGCTTCAGAAATTCTTCAAAGAGGACGATGCATTCGTCAAGACAGTCGAGGCAAATGCCTCGCAGTTGCAAGACGACGGCGATTCTTTTCCTATCACGAGGCAAAACGTACAACGCCTCATTCGACTGAGCTTATATCACCCGGTGATCTATTGCGACGACAGCCACTCGATGTCGTGGGATGTTCCGAGTCGCTGGGACCTGCAACGCAATGCTGTGGCTCGCATTGCAAGCATTACAACGCGGGCTCTCCCCCATTCGTACGGTGTCACGCTGCGTTTCATCAATGCTCATTACGCAGCACGGGATAACATTTCAGTGGACAACATCCTTGATACGTACGACCGAGTGAACCCCTCGAGTGGGACACCGCTCGGCACACGTTTGCGCAAGTATATTCTCAAGCCCTTGGTCTTCGACATTCTGGACAGAGGTCTCCTCCTCGAACGTCCTCTTTTGATATGTGTCATCACCGACGGCTGTCCATTCGGCGAACATGCGACAACTTTCGAGCAAGCTATCGAAGAATGTCGACAGCGGCTAGTGGATGCCGGGTATGAGCCGACTGCGGTTCGGTTCTGTGTGACTCAAATTGGTGCCGATGAAGGTTCCACGAGCTTTCTCGAGGATCTCAGAAGTAATCCAAGGATACAGGACGTCATGTACTGCACAACGGAGCGGCTGGACGAGAAATTCCGGGAGTTATGGGACAATGGACGCCAGCTTGACGAGTGGCTTCTCAGAATGCTCTCCGATCCTATTATGCACCGCATCGGGGACTGATGAGATGCGCAGTCCGTTCTCATGACATAGGTGCGTTTGTTTTCAGCATATCACCGCTCCGGCGTCGAATCTGATACTTAATTCGTGCAGAGGCACAGCTGTCTGGCGATGTACAATGTATTTGGAGAATATGGCACAGGACATTGAAGTGTCTAGTAAAATGAGATCATCGGTGGACCGGTGTGATCAGGCAGTAGATCAGTTTGTATTCAGAGTGTACACTAGTGTACTGTACGCCGTGTACGGTGCTTGCATGTGGAGGACGATCTGGACAGACACGTGTGTACGGATCACCGAGCGGCGATCGGTGGGCGCCCCGCCACCGAGGAACGTCCGAGCTCGTCGTTGCTCGTTGTCTCCTGCC